TACATGAAGAGATATTCACACTAAAGCTTCTCAGCTCGGAGCTCGCCTTTGCAGACCGAGCGCGACAACGTCACCCGGAACCTGAAGAGCCAGCTCTGGGCAGTACATAGCCGTGGGAATCATAGTGCGAATCAGTGCTAATAAGGTCACGGCCCGCTTGTCCAAAAGTCGGAAAACGTCGGAGCCAGTGCGAATGGTCTTTGCATCCATGGATGTAATCACATCGCCAATGGTTCCTGAGCTGCTTGCAGCACCGGCTTTGGGCAATGAATCTAGATGGCCCTGCTCCTTACGAAGAACGCCAGCCGACGATACATCAGGTTTCTGAAGCAGAGCATCCGTTCAGCATTGGGCGAACTCCTGTGTGTGCAGACTGAACTCATCACCGTGAGATGCTGCAGGCATGTTATGCGCACTCCTGCTTGCTCTGCAGGACTGTTGGGTATGATCCCATACACAATGACACCAGGAATATTCAGGGCATCAGCAATCGCGTCTGGCGCAAAGGTGATTCCCAGGAATCCGCGCGAGACGAATCCCTTTTTCAGAATCAGCTCCACGTTCCGCTTCACCGTGTCCACCTCAGAGACATCATTACACTCGCCGAAGTTCGCGCTACAGTCAGGATAGTGACTATGCGTGCGTTATTCTTGCAATGGTGTTTTCCTTCTAGTCATAAGTGATCCCAAGTCGCCTACCACAACCACAGGCACTGCCATGTGAAAAGCACGAGCATGGCTGCAATATCGGCCAATTACCAAATCATCATGCTCTTATGCTGGCCAAGTGCTGTAATCATGCCTTCTGCTGCGAATGATCTGCATGGTCTTATGAAGTTCTGGTGATATGGCATATACCGAAATGAATGGGCTTTTGTGCTAAATACACGTCTGCTGACCACACACCTCCGTGCTTTTCTACTGCGAAACATGATGCGTCCCTGCCCAAAGTGGTCCAGCCACGGGGATCGCCAGGCCCACCCCGGCAGACGTGCCGCTGGCTGTGAGGATGGCGGTGTTCACCCCGATGACACGTCCCCCAGCATCCAGGAGAGGGCCCCCCGAGTTGCCCTGAAGGGCGATTCAGAGGACGTTCACTACATCTTCTTGAATGCAGACTGGTCTGACTAGTCTGTCTGGAAGCACAGACCCCTGAATCACTGAAGCACGCGCTGGGTTGATGGAGGCATCCGTCTGGATGCAACCCTGGATGGGCCTGACGCTTGCAGCCCACCGCCATCCGTGCCCTTGAAATGCAACCCTTCCCGGCCTCTCACCAATGTCAAGCGTCCTCGACTTGCCTGAGATGATGCCACGGCTCCTGGACTGGGTGCTGAAACAATAAGACGTGTAAGACTAAGTGCAAACTGTTCATGTTGCAGAGCTGCGGTGCTAGTAGGCAGACTTACCCAGCTTCAAACAAGGTGCATGCTGTGGTCCAGGCCAAAGGGATTTCCAATCGCGAAGACGGTTTGCCCTACTTCGAGTGCAGAGGATTCCCCAGTGGGCAGCGGGTGCATTCCGACGGTCATCGTACCCGACGGGGGTGGTATGACCTTGATCACTGCAGTGTCCGTAAAGGGATCGGATCCGATCAGCTCACCTTTGAGGATCTCCCGCTTGGGCAACTCGTTCTCGTCCATTCCGCTCACCGCGTCCAGGAACACTATTTGCAGTTCGCCGGGCGCTAGATCCCGCACCACATGGTAGTTCCTGAAGATGGACGGCATGCATCGCACAAGCAGCAAATAGCAGCAAATAAGTATAGCACTCGGCATCACAGCGACAAAAAATCGCAGCCAGGCGACGTTACCACGTGCGTGGCGTCCCAGACCTCACGCGCATGCCACGCGTGCTAAAGTCATCAACAGTGCTTGCAGTTCGAGCAACGTCGCCCGGGCGTGGCAGCTGTTCTTGTAGCTGTATGGTGATAGTTGGAGTAGAAGTATTCGTGGCAGTAGTCAAAAGCGGCAGTACCACCACCACCACCGCCGCCGCGCCACCGCGACCGCCACCGAAGCCACCGCCACCGCCGCCACCGCCGCCAGCACCTGCACAGCCACCGCCACCAGCACAAGCACAAGCACTGCCGCCGCCTCTGCCAAGCGCGAGGAAACTGAGGAAACTGTTAATGCTGCAATGATACTGCATTATTGCCACTACTGCTGCTGCTCCGCTGCTGCTGCTGTTGCTGGCAGTGGCCGCGGCGGGCACGGTCATGGTAACATGCTGAGCTGCAGCAGCCGCAGCAGCCGCAGCAACCGCATTGCAAGGAGTAATTGCAATAACTCGGCCAAGTAGCAAAGCCACTGCCCAGGGATGGCGGCAGCCCATCTTCGACGCCTCCGCTGCGCTTCCTCTCGCCCTGCCTGGGAATTTAACATTTTTCTTCGGAGCCTCTAACTCAACATGATGCAATGTATGGGGTGCTCCAAAGACATCGGTAGTCTATCAGGGGAATCAAGGAGAATTCAACCTCGAAGTTCTTCCTTGGACAGCCTTTTTCGGGATCACTGTTATAGGCGAGATTTTAGGAGATGGAAGGCGAAAAAATCTCTTTGGAGAATCTTTTGCCTGTACCCACGAGAAACGGCGACCACTCCGGGTGTGGCAGCTCGGAAGACCTGCCCATTCAGCTAGAGCTCCAGATGCGTCTGCATGTGACTGCAAATAATTCAGCATAAGAGAGTTGCCGTGCCACAGCACTAGGATGCACTAGGGAATGATCAAAAAAAGTAAGACAAAAAATTGCATCTCGAAGAACAGCTGCTGTTTCTCTGCGGGCAACAAGACGTTATTTTCAACCAGCGCTCAGTGGTCTGAGCTCTCTGTTGATGGGATAGCGCATGCAACACAACTGCAATGCTGCAAGAAGACGCTAAGTGATTACTGTGCGGATTCATTGCCAGCCTGCGCGGCTGCCCTCTCCTCCGCACTGCGGGCGAGGGCCCGGGCGGGTTCGGGTGCGACTGCGCCGGCTGCCAGCACCTACGAATCTGCACAGCTTCTGCTCAGGCAGGCGCCTAGAGGTCAAACGGCCGAGAGGCGCACGTTGGCCAGCCCAACCTGTTGAACAAGCTCCCGTCGTCCAGGGCACTCCCTGCTTTGCACAGCAAGCTGCAGCGAGCTGGTGAGGCATCTTTTTTGAAGCAGGGATGGGCCTTCCTTTGTCACCGGGCAGGGAGAATGTTGTGATGCAGTGTTTGGCCTGAAGCAGTGGTCATACTCCTCCTGACTTGACTAATTCCACAAGTTCCCATTGCAGCCCAAGAGCCGCGAAGAAGAGTCCCACAGCGCACCACCCCCGACATGCTCGCAATCTCATAGCAAACTCAAACTTATTCAAACTTCTTTTCTTGGGATTGCTGCTGCCCATCTGCAAGACTGTGGCCTGTCTTTCAAAACACTGCTCTGCCCAACGAACAACTAATTCATTTGCCTCCGCTTTAAACCATTTGATTCAGCACAGTTGTCTATATTCAAGGGGAACTCTGCCATAACCGCGCAGCCTTGAATGGCTCTTGCTGATAGACATTGCGGCGAGCGCAGAAAAGACATATGGCTGGCAGAAAGACTCATGCCTGCTTGACTTCCCGTTTCTGCGCATTCTCAGCAGGCACCTACTGGGCCGTTTTTGTCAACCATGATGCCACAAGCTGCACATCTTTGGGCGATGGAAAATAGAAGGATGTCATGATCACAACTAGGGCCAGGCACACGCAAACCAAGAACTTACAGAGCACTCCCCTGGTCTTCGCCGGGCTCTGCAGAGCTTGCGTTAAGTATCTTGCCATCGGCAGAGACAGGCACCACACGGCGCAGCGACTGTGATTCCATGATCCCAGCAGGTCTCCCAGCCAGGCCAGCTTTGAGGATGCTGACTTTGCCGAGAGCCTCTTGCAAACCGCTGTCCAGAGGCTCCAGGACCTCTGCTGCACGATCCAGACAGTCGATGGAGATTGTTGGGATGTTTGATAGAGATTGCTGTTAGTGCTTGCCTTGTGCAGCTGCTTTCTAGCGCTGTCAAAGAAAGCCAAAGAATACCTTGGCTGACTACATCTCCAAGACCCGCATCTGCTACTGGAAAAGCTGTGAAGGTTGACCTCGGGTCTAGACCTGTGCAGGAAGTGGTCTGGGCACCACCGCGCATCTTCCTGAGGGCAGCAAACGTTATAGAGGCTGGCAGGAACTTTCAGAATCTGCGCAGTGAGAGGTCCGCAATCCGCCTGAGCGGTCTCCTTTGACGAATACTTCGCATCGCGGACGGTGGGATGTCCCACATGCGAGGTGTGCAGCCGGATCCTAGGTGATTCAAGCTCATGGCAATGGAAGCTTGCCGACCCGGGACAGATGAGGCAAAGACTGATGCATCCGCCCGGTCACAATTCGGATGAGGAGGAGGCAAAGACCTCGTGCACCAATCCTGGCCGTGTCTAACATGCGTTCCGTGCGTTGCAAAAAAAAACAAGGAGGGTATGCTGCCCAAAAAAATGCTGCTTCGCGTCACTTGCAGCGCTTAACTTTTAATACAAGCGGTTTCCAATGGTAATCTCCTGAATGGGGAGCCGCCACTCGCCACAAAGAAGCAAGCGGAGTGGGAAGGGCTGTGGTACATGTGGGCAAGGTCAGTTGAACATGAGTAGCCCAGGCATCATCCATGTACATCCGTACAGTCTGTTGATCTTTCCAACCTCCTTGAACCATGGTCCGGCCCAAAACTGAGTTTGTTGATAGAAATGCGTAGCTCCGCCCCTTCGAAAGCAACATGGAAGATATAATCCAGTCCCAACGAGGAGAAAGTAGTGCAAAAAGAAGCCACAGACGATGTGATTTCTCCTTCAGGCCGGACCTTGATCCACAAGAATTGCAGGACCGCCACCAAAGGCGTTTCAAACAGGGAAAGAGACTGTTGCAGGCCACGGGAATTTTTGGAGTTGATGATGACAATGACAACGGTGTCTTGGTTGGGGATCCACTCCATGCTCTCCTTGACTTGGTGACTCCAGGAACTGCGGGGTTGATCAACGCCGGATGGCTTGGAAGGATATTGCCATGAAGAGCCCGACCAGGTGGAGTGGACTCGACGTCCGGGGGCAGCCTCTCGGGCGTGCAGGCTCCCTGCAAAGAACAAAAAACAAAGCTTGATCTCGTCGAACTCCCCGCCTGCCAGAGCAGGCGGGTCACGGCGGACACAGGAGGCCCGAAGCTTCTATCTCCACTCTCGCCACGCAAGGCCTTCAGAGGCCTTCTGTCTGAACTCCGCAAGAAGGATTACTACTTTCCGTGGCAAGTTGTGCCCACTTGTAGTTGTTCGGTTTGCGCAGCCAGCTGTAGTGGCCCTAGGCATTTTATAATGCCAGGGGCCTGGAGTTCCGTTGCTGGAGATGCGGAGCTGTATGGGGCAGGCCCTAGGAGACGATGTGGAGAGCCCCCCATGTGCGCCAGGGCACAGTCTTGCTGAGGGCGGACAAGGTTGACCCTCGCGGACGCACAGGACTGGGCAGAGGTAGCCTGTCTTGCGGCCTCCGACGCCCACCTACGATGGTGGTTGGACCACGGTCCATGCCAGAACGACAACTGGCAATTCGAGGTCCACTTTTGCTCCTGTGCCCAGCGCCCGTGTAATGAATCGAGACGTGGCCGCGCTATTGACTTCCGCACCGACCGCTTCCGTCACTTGACCTTGGGGGACCTGGCGGACAAGAAAGTTGACTGGATCGTGAAAGGCCCCCGCCAGAAATATGTCAGGGAGGAAATTGATCGAATGGCCGGTCATGATCTCGGAGACGACGCTTAGGGACTACTTGCCGCTCAAGGATGCGCTATCCAAGCTCCCAAAGAGGAACCCGAAGGGGGACCCGAAGGGGAAAGGCGCTGGCAAGGGCGAAGAGTAAGCCCCGGCCAAGTAAAGCGACTCTTCCCCAACGGAGGAGGCAGGTGTGGATGACGTTTGGAGTTCCACCTATGAGGGTTCCGGCCAAGGCCGATCAAGATCAGAAGAAGCTCTTTTCCATCGCTGGGTTTATCGCCGGCATGGTGATCGATGGGACTCTGGACAACGATTAGATGGCTTCTCCGTTCCGGAGGACTCTCAAAATGTGGCCTCTGATTTTGGAAACCCTGATCCCACTGAAACTCCTATATAACCCAGCTTCCATGTTGATTCCCATTTGATTCTCCGCTATTGTGAGAATATCCCCAAAGTATGCAAGCCCTCAAATCTCCTGCAGAACTCGATGATGCTGAGCTTGGTTGCTGAAAGCCGACCACTATCTTCTACCGAGCCGGGTGATCGCCTGAAAACGCCAAAGACATGGCAACACATGTACAGTAATTACAAAGATAACAACAGAGTAGAATAGTACTAATACTGCTAGCCATAAGAGCAGCTACCTGAATTATTAGTAAACAGCTAAGTAAAAAATTGCTTTGGGGGGGCCTATCGCTTTACAGGATTTTTGCACACTGCTGTCATCCATTTTTGTGGCATTGCTTTTTGGAGGGGGCCTATCGCTTTACTAGGGTTTTGCTCATGTCCCTGGATTATATCTCTGCCTGCTCTTGGCTCCTACACGATACTACAAGCAGTCGCTCATAGGAGTATTACCGAAAGTATTAACAAGAATAAGAAAGCATTACTGCTTCTGTAGTAATGTGAGAATGACTGCAGCAAACAGAACGCTGGAGGGTTCGAGTACACCAATAATCGGTGTGAAAGGATCGAAACACTATTTTGGTACCTACAAGCTCAATTTTGGGGCACTCGGACCCTTGAAGGAATATCATGAACAGCATCCGCGGCCCAGGCCTGCCATTTGGCCACCAACAAATTCGTGCGTTGATTTCCTTCCGGTGAGGGCTCATCCAGCCATGGCATAGGGCCAGGTAGTCTCGCTGAATGTCACCACAAGCGGCCTCTGCACTTTCAGAAGCAAGACTGACAAAAAACATAGCCCACCAAGGGAGAAGACGAAAGCAGCAGGAAAACTAAAGAACGGAAACGAGAAAGAAACAGCATCCCTCGTCGTCATATTCGCACTATAGGGATGCACTAATTAAGAAGCAACTGTGGCCGCAGGCACGGCAACAAGGGCAGCAACACAAATTATCAGATCAGCAGCAAGAAAGGCCACCATCTTCTCAGCAGTTATCAACAGACACGCAGGTGAATAGAACAACATACCCAGTAACAGGTGCCACATGTAGAATGCACTGACAAAGAATTCTCGAAACCGGAGTTGGTCTTGCCGAGCCTGGACTTTGAGCTGATACCAGGCGTCATGAGACTTGGCAACCAGAATCCTGATGAGAAGCACACTTGACTCGACACCGCTATGGGGACCCACAGTCTACGAATTCAGGCCAGTCCAAAGCAGACAAGAATCAAGCCAGAGCTGGGCACATCCAGGCGATGCAGGAAGCCACGACCTTGTGCAACCCAGAAAAAGCACCCTCATTCTATCATAGCAAGGTTTCCGCAAAAAGCAACTCCATAAATCTTTGGGCACAGGCCACGGTCGATGAATGCGAGCAGAGGGGATCTTGGAAACATGGCCTTGGGCAGCGAAGGTCCCCCAGGGCGCTTCAAGCCCAGCATAACCCGACAAAATCATTTCTAACGGACGGACGCAGTATTTTGTACACCTACCACCGAGACCGTGGCATGTTCAAGATCTTGACTTGGTGCACTTTCTTGCCAAGTTCTGGCTTTTTGACACCTCGAACGGCCTGAATCCTACTCAAATCC